TGTGGGGGTAGTGTATTCTGTTGATAGTCTTGTAGCGGCTGGATATGGTATTCTTATGGAACATGGCAATGATGCCTGAGCTATCAGAAATCTTGTCAAGGATGAAGCAGATGGAGAAGAGCCCTGCAGAAGCTCCTTGATAATGACAGCAATAAAATAATTCCTAACTTGGAACTGTTAAGCCTCAGCTCTATAGAGGTCTGATATAGTCACTTTAATAAAGCTAATGAACCTATTAAGGCTCCAGAATAGTGTGTTGCTGCTCTAGAGCTGTCACCAGTTCCTGGCACAGAGCCAGCTGAGTAGCCTTTTGCAGCCTGAAATCATCAGCTTTGTGTCTATAGTATGATGTCTTTTCACATGTGAGTGCTAATGCCCTGGACAAGTTAAAGAAAGGTGTCTTGATCCTGGTTTTGATGCCATCCAATGTTTAGATCATGATTCTGTTTTACAGAGAAGCTGAGAAACATCTGACAATCTCTCTGGTCATGGCATCGTGGTTTATGAGAAAAGGCTTCATTTTGGTAATCCTGCCATGACCCAGTCCTGCTCCCTTTTCTCCCCATCTTCATCCTCTCAGGCTGTAGTTTACCACTTTGTGCTACCATAACAGAATTAGTGCGAACCCTAAGACACCAGAGTGCTTCTTGGTGCAGGTGGTACGCATGGTGTGGGTGAGTCCAGGGCTGATGTCTTCTGTATGCTGGCCATTGGGTTGTGGGTGCTGTGCCTGCAAGCTGACCATGCTCCATGAAGTGCAGACATGCTGCAGAAAAGTGGAGGTTCCCTAGAGGTCTGCAGTACAGAAAACAAACAAACAAACAAACAAACACAACCTGGGAAGGGGTGTCCTCATTGGGATAGTCCTTGAAATAAAACTGCATAGACAATAAGAATTATCAATAATTCAATGTTTCTTTATTTCTCGTAAAGAATAGAATTTGGGGGCAGGGGAAGAGGATGTTAAGGGAGCTGAATTAAAATAATCTTTCTTTAAATGTTTAAAATCAAGAATAATAAATTGTTCTTTCTCAGGTTGATTTGGCTTTTAGAGAAAACTTTCTAGCTGTAAACTGCAGAGTCTAAATGGTTGTGTCAACATGAGAACATGGTTCCTAAAAGTGCCCACTTCAATTTAGATTAAAAAAATGGAGGACTGGTAATAAAGCTGAAACCCAAAGAAATATATGAACCACATCTTGTTACTTCCTTAAAATTTGTGTGAAAATGATGTTTCAATTTTCAGTACTGCTTCAATTCTGACCAAAAAATTTCCACAGTCTATACCATGAATTCCTGCAAAATAATATTTTTTCACCCAATGGCAGGAATCTCTTTCACCATATCAGAGAATTAATTTAATAGTCTTTAGAATAGTTTTAATAATAATAATATTAAAAAGGTCCAACCATCTGATAAAGCAGCCTGTCTTATTTTTACATTTTCTGTTGCTGCTGATCAGATTCCGTTTGTGTACAATACAGAAAACAGACCGCTACTGAAAGAAAGAACAAAAGGCAAATCATTGTAAAATCTGAACTGCCAGAATTAGGCCGTCATGTTACAAAGTGGTAATTCTTTCTGACAGCCTCAGCTGTACCAATCATGACATTCGGCAAATTAGCCAGGCCAAGAACAAATAAAAAGAAGAAACAGGTGTGAAACCAACTTCCTGCCTCCCAGGATAAATACATTGTACACTGAAGGGCAATGCACCTGCACTATTGTTTCTAGCATGTGTGTGTGGGGGGGAAGCTTTTAAGTGCAAATACACTTGAGACTTGATAAAGACTAGAGACTTCTCTATAATTTGGGTGTAAACGGGCATTTTCTTTCGTGATTATTTATAATAAGTTAACTCTTTGAGGAGACATTTAGAACTGGAGCTTGAATAAGTGATTGCTCTACAAGGGAAGATGAAATGAAGTGAAGCAGAAAGCCTTCTCTGGGCTTGCCAGAGGAATAATAAGATAACCTCTCATTTCCTTTCTGGGTATGGCCTTGCTTCTCAACATCACCATCCTGGCTGGGAGCACTCAGATCCTCAGTGGGATCCAGTGGGGCCAGGGAAAGGAGCCCACTGCTGTCATTCTGCTGCACCTTTGCAGGAATTCCTATGTGACCAGATAATGTTGGGGGTGCTGGCCTGCCTGCACCTATTCAAGGGAAAAAGAGAAGTGGAAGACTGGGAGACAAGAGAAGGGCAACAAATAGGCTGTAGCCTGCACACCCTAACAGTTATTTTATTTTATTTATTTATTTTATTTTATTTTTTTGTCTTCTTCTTAAATTCTTAAATTCTGCTTGTGACTTGGTGCTTGGGAATATTTATTTCATCATAATAGCTACTGGCAGGCAAAGGAATGAGAAGGGAAGTGACTATGATTTAAATCTAAGAGAGGTTCCTTTCTGGAACCCAAATCACATGCATCAGCCAGACTGCTTTTCTGATTTTTTTTTTTTCTCCACTGGAACAGATTCTCAGAGACATATTCTAATATGTCCAATGGCATGACTGGAAGTCTAACATCCCTTTCGTTCTAGAAAGGGGCAGTAAGTATGAGGTTTCAGCCTCTGTCGAGGAATAGGGACTTTTTTTTTTTTTTTTTTTTTTTTTTTACCCCTAATACATATGGTATAAAATATCCACATTCCACATTTTTCTTTTCAGTAGGAAGACGGAGTGGATCAGGAGTAACACACTGAGTAGATGATTCTTAAGGGGCAACAGCAGGACAGCCATGAACTGGTTTCTAGTTTTTCTGGGACAGCTGCTGAGCAAACACATAGCACTGGCTTTTAGGGTGAGAGCTCCTCCCTGGTTCTCTGGGAAAGACTGACTCCCGCAACCAGCACTTTTACAGCTGCACCAGTGCCTGGGAAGTGTGATGGGAAATTTCTGTCATTCTCACAAATCCCCGAGAGGACAGGAAACACAGTTGTAGAGTTATGGGAATAAGAGAATGTCCAGGAGAGATGGACAAGGAGGTTTCTTGCAGTGACCTCAAATGGTCCCCAGAGTTTTTTGTGAGCAACCTCATATACTACAGGTTCTTCTTGTTTGTTTGGTGCCTGGTTCCCTGTGACTTTTGGTGATGTGATTCTGAGAGCTGGCAAGCTCTCAGCAAGCCTGGCTCCTTGCACAGTCTGAACTAAGACAAGTGAAATAGGAGAATGAAGTTATTACATATAAATGTTCCTATTCTTGAATATTAGGGTTACTAAATGAGCATTTGTACATGGGGTGTCAGTATGCTTTATTAAAGCAGGCGATACCCCATGACATATGGGTACCTCCTCCACCTTCCCCTGCAGCCCCGTTATCCTTAACAACAAGGTGATCACTGTGACAAAACCCTTTAGAAAATGAATACCTGTGCACCCTTTAAGTCACATGAACCTGCCATTAATCTGAAGTAGTTTACGGCCAGGCTTTATGCAAGGTGAAGAAAGAAAGCTGCTTCCATGTAAATATAAAACAGTCCGTGATGTAGTAGGTGGTGAAAGGACTAGTATAGACATCACTAGTAATCAATGTTATATTTTGATTTATATTATAGAGTTATGGAGAGCAAAGGAATCAAGATGTACAGGACAGTACTGCTACTGTGGCATTTTTCTCTAGCTAAGGAGCAGAACTGCAAATGAAGAGACTGTAAAGGCTTTACTTTAGACATTATTTGGAATGAGTTGCGCAATTGCAGTGAAGATTAGTGCTTGACTGCACCTGACTTTTTATTTATTTATGATTTTATTCTATGGGAAATATGACAGAAAAAGACTTACTGAAGTTCTGTGAGTGAGCACAAGCACTTGCATCATTTTAACATCTGTCACCAAGCACAATTGATAATGGTGACTGCTATTATGGCATCTTCCTCCCCTCCGCACAAGGCCATCTGGGATTTGTGTTATGTAAGAGGATTAGCATTTTTGCTTTCCTCTGTTATTTAAAGTATTTCTCAGAACTAGTTTTTGAATAATAATAACAACAACAATAATAATTGGGCTGTTTTCTGTGTGGCTTTCTGAAAGGAAAATTCGGGAATTCTAAAGCCATTGCTCTTAAGACGAACACCTGGCCTTGCCATTTGGGTTTCAATGGGATTCACTTGAAATGGGATTTTTCAAGCTGTGGTGGATAGGACTGATGGAAGGCTGATATGACTGGATGAAATGAAGGATAAAGCATAAATTATCGTGAGTGGATCTATTCCAGCAAGGAAACAATTGTGATTTCCTTTTCCTCCTCTCAGACCTGATTATTCATCACATTGTTTATAAGGAAAATTTCAGCTTCAAATACTATCTCATATAATTATAGTGGTGGCTGGTAATTTTGACTGTTAAGAAAGCCTGATATTTATCATTATCTGACCCTGGCTTGGGTTGTTTATATATTTATGAAAATTGAATTATTTTGTCTGAAATTTTTCATATAGAGTATTCAGACATCATTAAGATAGAGAATTTTGGAAAGGTCTAATCAAAATATCTGGCTATTTTTCAAGATTTACTTAAACAAAACAACAACAAAAATTTACCATGAAAAAAGCGTAATGCATTAGGAATACCACTCAAATTCACATCAGCTGGAGCTAGGACTCAGTACTGTAAGGCAGGAATAGGGAGAAGAGATGTGTAGTTAGACCTGTGACTGTTTCTGCCTTCACAGGAGACTTTCAGATTTAGCCAGAAATATGTATTTGAAAAAAATGTTAATTCAATGGAGCCTTAAGGAGACGCCTTGAACAAACACTTCAGTAATTAACGGTGGAGAATCTCAGACGGGAAAAAAATATATGAAAAAAGTAGGGTGAGATACAAATCCCAGTCTGCCTACACTGTTCCTGCAGTCTCCTTCCTCTTCCTCCAGTTACCTTATGAAAAATCTCTTCCTGTCTGTCACTTCTGTGGCCAGGCCATATCCAGTGCTTGTTGTTTCCAGATATCACTCCTTGTTTGCTGCATGTCTGACCCTGACCCACCATGTTTTCCAGAAGTGGAGTTTGCTCATGGATGGTCTCAGGAGGAGCAAGATATTCCACCCCCTATGGAGGACTTCACCTGAACTAGAGCAGAGCAATTAAATCAAGATAAGTGGTCACAGCCTGCTAAAGAAACAACATGAAACGTACAGCGAACTGTAAACAACCAAATAAAATGACTCACTGTTACACTATGATCATATATTCCCACTAAAGAAATCTTAGTCCACAGCTTAAGACTCCATGGTCTCCAATATACATTAACTGTGATCTAGTCTCTCACTCATCCTTTACAAACCTATGCAAAAGAAACCTCTGCAGCAGAGCTTAGTATACACCAGTAAAAAGTATTAGACTTTTTGGTGAACGCTGCTGGTGTGGGAGCAGTCTGTTAAAAGCAGTAAGGAAGCATTTACAGCCTCTGGACCAGGTGCTGGAGCTAAAAAGCAATAAAAATGGCTGAGTGAAGACTGGTAGTTTGGACTGGGAGCTTAGCATTAGCTTCTTAGAGCTAAAGTCTGGATGGGAAACCAGCAGCAGAAGCAATGACTGTTGGGAGATGGTAACTGGAATGAGCTGTGGTTGGAGGCTCGTGCTGGAACAAGGCTCTTGGGCAGGGAGACAGAAGAGAGCTAGAAGAGTCAGGCAGCCCCGTGCATGTCAGCTTTTAATCCTGTCAAGCCTGCAGTGAAGCCAGTGAGTCTTGAGCTCTACCATTCCTCAGCTGCTAGCAATTTTCATGAAACCTCTTGCAGTTTTGCTGCTGTTAATGGTAAGTACATCAGACTGACTCGCTGGGTCAGACCATCTAACCCAATATCCTGTCTCCTCCCACAGCCAGAAGTAAATGCTAAGGGAAGAACACAAGAACAGACCCACAAAGTGTAAGTCAATACATTCTCAATTACCACAGTGTTTTTTTTTTTTTTTTCCACATAGAAGAGGTCCCTGCAGTAGATATAAAGTTTTCAAGTAGCTGCTGACTCATAGCAATGTCAAAATAATGCCACGTGACAGCTTTGCTTTCTTTTCAGCTCACTTTTCAGAGCATTAGGAAACCACACATGAAAGCAGCTGTTGTGATGCTGTGCTCTGAGGTGATCCTGACTCGCTTGCTTCTCCCTAGGCTTGCCCTGGCCTGCAGCTGCATGGTGGCACACTTGTTTTCCACAAGGACTTACTCCCTGCCAGTGCAGAAAGGAGACCAGAGACCTGGTAGAGATCTGGTAGTGATAGAGATGTCCCAAAAGACCTGCAGTGCTAGGGAAGTTAAAAGTAGCCCTCGAAGGGTGGCTGCTGTAGAAGAGATTATTTTCAACTCATTTTAGAGGTTTAAACATTTAGGCCTCTAAAGCTAAGTTAGTCATTACTGGTGCCTGTCTGATTCAGTGAAGACAGACACCTTGAGCAGATCTGTTTTTAACCTACGTAAGGATGAGATTAATTTTGAGGTACTCATTTTTCTCTGTTGATTGTAACAGGGACCTAAGATGCAGCCGGCAAACACTACCTTGCTTCCGTCACATCTTTCCCTGCTTGAGGCTGTGAGGCATTATGTGCAAAAATATTGAATTGTCACAGCTTGTTCCCTCAGAAAAGGGAGGGCAAAATAATCAAAGTAAGGAGGCTAAAAGAAAAAGTATAAAGAAGTAGGGCAGTAAGAAGGGCAGAGCCTATCAAACAGCTATACATTGAATGATTTTTGTCCATCCTGCATGCTGAGAAGTTAACTTTGCAACTACAATTGCCTTTGATTTATGATTATATAAATAAGCCTTTGTCTAGTAAGTATAAAACTATCTGGACAGAAGTAGTCTTTTGATTTGTTTATTTATTTATTTTATCTTTCTAGTGTTGCATAAACAATCTGCTAGCAACATGTCTGCCTACTATGTATATATATCCAATGTGAGCTGTTTTGTTTATGATATACAGATACTTATATAGTTGTCTCCCTTTTCTGACATCACTGTGATCTCATGTGGAGACTAAAGAATGCCACAGTGATGCAGCTTCAGTCCCTAAGTCATAGTCTCACAGGTGGGTCTGCTAAACTTTAGGTTGCTTTTGGTTCTTTAGGAGGTATTTTTCATAAATGACAAAATAGGAAAGCAAATTGGAAACAAGGTAGAAAGATGAACCCTGGAAATGAAGTGATTACATGTATATGCAAGGCGTAGGCTCAAATTTCTGCTTTGAATGTGGTAGGGCAGAAATCTGAAGTTGTAGTGCAGTTCTGCTAAGTCTATAGCTTCTTGCAGTTGGGTTTCTTCTACATAAACATGAAACCTGAATCTCAGTTTTTCTTCACATGAAGTTTGAAAACAATTACAAAAATAATTTGTAGTAAGAAGAAATTCTTGATTGCCAGCCAGATAAGAAAGTAATTCCTCATAAAGTAAAGTTCTTGGTCATTGCCACACAGATCATTGCCACGCATATACCATAGGTTTAAGTAAAAAAAAATACATAAAAATTTGTCCATTCTATTTCCTATCTTCATGTCAACCATACCATTTTTATTTTTTTTTTCTTCACCCTCTAAGTCTCCATTCTTCTGGTTATGTTTTGCCAGTGGAGCAATCAACATTTTAAACAGAATCTGTAACACAATCTGATAGAGTTTAACAGAAAAGAAAAAAAGGCGGAAAAAAAAGGGAAAAAATGATTTTAATAACACAGCAGATAGCAAAGGAATGCTATCCTTATTGCATCACTTAGGCAGACATGCAGTTCAGTAAATCCTTCCTCTATCCAACCCCCATTTTCTTGGAACCAGGTCACAGTTCCTATTGGGCTTCAGATTTCAGTGCTGTGCACTGCAGAAGTACATGATTTTTTCGCACAGTGTGTTTTCAATGTGAAATAGAGTATATTTTTTCTCTGTGAAACTTCCAAACTCTGACTCCATGCTGTTGGAGTCATTTTGCATTGTGTTGCTGGTTGAATGCCTAGGAACAACCTTATTCCTAGCTGAGAACTAGATTGCAAGGAAGCTAATCCTTTTATGCATGTGTGTTCCTGCTTTCTCATTCGGACGTAGTAAGTATTGTTAAGAATCTTGGCACTGCTCTTTGCCTTGACTTTCCATGCAAATCCATGTGCCAGATGTCATCAGAGAGTGTTTTTCTTCTTCCTTTTTTTTTTTTTTTCCTTTTCGTTTCTTTCCTTTTTTTTTTTTTTTTTTTTTTTCCTCCCAGCTGTATGCGTTATGTTGATATACTAGTGGACCATTGTAAAAATGTGGTCATAAAGTGGGGAGCCTGGTCATTATATCTGCAGAAGTCCCTGATAGCATTTTCAGTATGGCTTTGAAGAAAGCTTTTATTGCCCCACCCCATCCTTAACTGGTCTCTTTTTGTTATAATCAAACCACAAAGAGTAAGGTCAGCAAAAAGGTATGAGGGAGGTTTAACAAGAAGGTTCTCTGAGAACATATCCTGATCTATAAATACATGAAACTTTATTTTTCTTGATGTAAATGTGCTGCAGAACTGGAGCCCAACTGCTTGTACTGAAGTCTGGACATAGATGCTAATATTTTTCTTAACATTTTGCAAGAGACCATTGTCCAAATAAGCCACAGGAGATATTAGTGTGCAATCTGGTGAATTTTAGCATATAGCATGCTAATATGATATTTTAATATGCACACTCATATGTTTTTGGAAACTAAGCCTTCTTTTTTAGGAGAAAAAAAAAAGAAACTGGTATTATTGGTAAAAAAAAAAAAAAAATTAAAACAGAAAGATATCCTTGGAAACATAGCCAGATGTAAAACAATGACTGGGGCTGAAAATTTGTCACTGATTTTTTTTTTTTTTTTCCTTAAAGATCACACATAGGTTATTTACTGTCCCCTCTACAGCTGGTCAGGGTTATGATTTTGAGCCTGTGATTATAGCAGGATTTTCTTTTTTTTTTGTAAGAGCTAGCTCTCAACTAAAATCTGTGATATGCTTGTGTGAGGAGCAGAAAACACAGGAGCTAATGGAATGATAAAAAAAAAAGTTTCTCTTTTTGTCAGTTTGTAAATATGTTAATGTCCTTGAAAACTTAAATTTAGTTATGGTCAAAAAGAGTACTCATTCAATGAGTACAAGAAACTAATCTTCTCCCTAAAACATTTTTTTTTCTTATTTCACTAATATGAAACATGAAACATTTTCCTATCATCCTGATTTCTTTTATTTTTTTATTTTTTGTCTATGATATGCTAACCCTTACTAGCAAGAGAAGAAACTTAAGCAGCCTTTACCATAAAAGAATGACATGCAACACCTTGGTATCAGAAAATAATGAAATTGCTTGCAAGCTTGTATCTGAAATTTGGGGTTACAGGACACATAAATCGTGTAGTATTTAAACCCTCATTTCTGTGTGAGAATATCAATGAAGTCATGTTTCTTTTGGTGTTATAAAACTCCATTTTGTACTATATTTGGCATTCTGCATTAAACAGGCTGTAAACTTTCACCTATTTATCCTTCTGCAAAGACAAATGATTAAAACATAGCTTCCATGTAGTTTTGATTTCAGGGAATTGACATATGGCTGATTCATCAACTGTTATATTATTCCCATGATTATTTTTCTCCCCCTAAAGATTTGTATCTGATTTCAAACTGGAAATTCTCTGATGCAAAATTGCAGCTGTTGGTTCAATTTGGGCCGTTCCTCCTCTTGATAAAAAATAACAGAATTTGAAATTTTAAGAATACCTGAAATTTAAGGAATAGTGAAATTTGAGATATCTGGAACTTTGTTAACTCAGCAATGTACTACTACATAGCATTCACATCATCTCTCATTCCTTCTGAAAAATGAGACCAAACACTTGAATGAATTGTCTGCTCACTTCAGAGGAGAATGGTCAAAATTATGTAAAAATTTCTAATGTTGTCCTATAGTCGTAATATGGATAATATGAAACCTAGACTTTGGTGCAGTACTGATTCATTAGTTTTGTTCTGTTTTCCAAGGTAAAATAAATCCACTAATTTACTCATGACATCGCTTTCATACATTCAACAATTTCACTGGCTCTTGGTATATTGGCTCCCAATATATGTAACACACACCTATTTATTTTTAATATTTTTTATATCAGAAAGTTAAATCAGAAATCCCAAATATATTAGAAAACTATATTGCATTTATGCTGTTGTCTGTATCAGCCAAACTATAACCTCACTCAAATAATGGAATCCTTTTTGTTCTCATACATTGTCTTCCATAAAAATATGTTGACATAAAATCATAAATATAGTATACCTATGAATTAATTCCCTCTCAGTTGTATCCACATATGTTTTCATTATTTAACTCAGAATTAGATTCAGGCCAGATAGCCTATGCTTATCCAGGTCATTCAATTTGCCCTTTTAAATACTGCCCCAACCTTTTTATTCATAATTCGTCTCTATTCAAAAATGCAGCAGAAATTAACAAGTCCAGAAGTTATTTTCCTGGCTCTTTTAGGAGTCTTAGGTACAGAATTAATACCAAGTCTATCAATTTAAAGGTGTTTAGACTTGGTAGGTACTAATTAATAATGGACTAGAAAATATTTCACATGTTCTATCCAACTTAACTCCAAACAGAAACCAAATTTGTTTACTGCCCCATTGCCTCTTCTGCCTTACTAACAGCTAGCAGAAAACATTTCTGAACAGCTAGTGATCTAAGTGCTAGAGAAAAGATAGCAGGTGGACACAGACAAGCAGACAGAGGCAGAGCACAAGGAAACCACGTTGGTCACCAGGGAAGATGGTGATCTTGGCATGCTGCTGCCGAACCATTGCCAAGCTCTGGCAGGCATAGTGGAAAAGGAGAATGTTACGATGGAATTGAAAGACAATAAGTAACTGAAAGAACTTATTTC